GGGGGCAGCGGCCGGGCAGACTTCCCTGCGCCTCCTTGCGCGAGGGGTGGCCCTGCCGGCGGGGCTGCCAGGCGTTATGGAGGGGTGGGGGCTCTGGCGGGAGAAGGGCCGCGGGGGGCCCGGCGAGGGATCGCACCATAAATGGCAGGAAGAAAAAGAAAGGAAAGTGAAACCAAGTGAGCGGCAGGTCTCTGATTTTGTGCCCGTCGTCCCTCGAGAAGGAGGGAGGCTGTAGAAAACGGAGTGGGGCAAGGGAGCTCCTCAGTGGCCTGTAGTGATGGGGGTTCTGCCCCATCAGGGTAAAAAATATTTCAGTGAAGATTTATATGAGCAAACTCAATAAATTCGAAGACTCGTCCAAAAGCAGTCACTGCAGAGTCGGTAACGACTGAGTGCAGATTAAAAAAAAAGTATTACTGTATCTGCCTTTTAAAATGAAGCCTACATTTATCCCAACGCTGGTTAATACCAAGTTTATGCACTTTGAAGAATTTTTACCCATGTTCAGGTTCTCAGAAGGGGGGATGTGGAGCTCATTTGTCTGGATCTCCTATAACCAAAGAGATCAAGTTCTCTTCAAGGTGGAATACATTATTTGTCTTCAGCCTCAGTACAAGAAGTGGGTCCCAGACCCTTTAGTTCTCTTCCTTTCTTAGGTGGGCCACAGAAGTAGCTGAAGGCCAATCCCATGCATGAAGAGAAGTCCTTGTAAGCAAATCTGAAAATTCACCCCACCTAGTTTTTTCAGTAGATGTCTTTGCTTTTAAAAGTTTATTCCCTAAGCATATCCCCTAGGCATTCTTAATAAAATAGTGGCAGTGTATTTGAAAGTATACCAGAAACAAATGGCCAAGGTGTGCTCAGGTGGCAGACAGCATCTTGGGAAGCTAAAAAGGTGACAAGGAGCATCATCATCTGTTTGCTTCTGGGCATACAGATGTGTTTGGACTGACCACACGCACTGTGGTTGCTATTTTATTATTACTAGATAACCTCCCAATAACAGTTCACAATATCTTAACTATCCAAATAGATCTTTCAGGCCCTGAAAGTGTATTGTTGTTTTATTAGAAGCATAACTTAACTAGCATAAAGAGTTGTTTATTTTATTAAACGTGTATATGCTTTGCAACTTTTTTATGTAAACAGTCACTGTTGAGTAGAAATATCCTCCCTGTAGAGGAGCTATAACTCCCAAAAAACTAGGGCTTTGATCCTGAGCATACTTGCCCTATTACATGGATCATATTAATTGAATATCCTATCATCACAAATATACTGTATACAGGTTAGTTCCAACTTTCTAACTATTCATAATGGCTATATTTACATCAACATACTAAGCTTGGTTACTTTAATCTTGGGTTCACACAGTGCATTAAGCCATAATATAGCCACAATATCTGGATTCATGTAACATAGTTATTTGCAAAACTAAAGTTAATTAAACATTTTTAGTATATTGTGCCAATGCAGCCATTAAAATGTTCACATTGAATTAAATTGTTGCTAATACCAATAAGCCATATATAAATAAATTTTTCCTCTTTCAAAAGCATTTGTTTTTTTTTTAAATACAGTTTTATTTTTTAAATTTATTTGTGTCTTTGAATCAGTCTTGACTCCTGGCAACTGCCTAGACATGACTGCAATTTCCTTAGCCAGGTTTTTCAGCAGTGGTTTGCCATTGCCTCCTTTCTAGGGCTGAGAGAAAGCAACTGGCCCTAGGTCATCCAGCTGGCTTTGTGCATAGGTGGGACTAGAACTCACGGTCTCTTGGTTTCTAGCCTGGTGCCTTAACCATGACACCAAATGGTTTTCCTTTAAATACAGTAAAGCGTTATACTTTTTTTTTTAATAGAAAGAACTGATATACTAAGGGTTTAAAGTAGCAGCTTTCTTACCATTACAAGTTGATCTTTTCTTTTTGTTCCAGTGGGCTGCTTTGTTTTCTTCCATTTTCTTAAATCTTGGCATTCTTTAACTTAGTCTTGTATACAGACTTTTATCATCAGAATCTGGCCTGCAGTAGAAGCCCTAAGGAGATCTCATCTTCACTCCCTGGTGGTAAATTTATTCAGGCTACCTATTGAAATACTGAAGGTTCCATTGGAAGTCTGCACCTCCATGAGGTTAGCTTAATATTACAGTGCAAGAGCAATAAGCAAGTGGCCTGACTTTATTTTAATGTGTATGATGAAGCCTCCTTCCAGATATGTGCAATCTTGGAGGAAAAAGGAGAAAGCCATGGTTGAACTTTTTCAGAAATGAAATTGCAGGCAGTTAGGGACTTTGATTGAAAGGAGGGCTTTGAATGTTGGGTTATCCTTATTTAGTCTTTAACCTGCAGGGCGGAGGGTAGAAGTGAGATACTTAAAATACAGTAGTCAGAAAAGCAGCATCATGTCAAGTCACATTCCCTGCTTTTATAGAAGTTTCAGGTTCCATTGTAATCTTAAAGTCACTTTCTTAAATGATTTAGGTTCCAGGAGCAAGAGGCATTTAGAAGAGTTTGAAGAAGGGGACCGACCAGACATGAAAAGACAATGCTGTATGAAATGCAGGTGCTCACCCTCTCAGGCACATTCCCTAAGCAATGGAAGAGCAGCTTCTCCAGTCTCTTTACTGAACAGCAGTGGATACATTGATGATGACTTGGATGACACTATCCTGGATCGTTCTGATGAGGAAAAGCCAGATTCTCCCACTGGACTCTCTCGTGAAGCTGAGGATGAGCTCATAGCAGAGGATCTGGAAACCTCCCCTAATTCTGTAGCAGTTGAAGTAAATAGCTGTGAGGATGTGAAGAAGCTATGTGATAGCATGTTAGCTTCTCCTGAATCTGCACAGACTCTGAGGGCTCCAGATGAGGTTGAAGGCACAAAGCCTCTTCCTCAGACTGGTTCTTCAGCCAGCTCAAGTGAGGGTGTTGTTTTCAGGAATTATTCGGAGAAACTAAACAGTGGGAAATACTTGAATAAGAGCTCTCAAAATCAAGCAGAGTTTGGTGCAAATTGTAATGGTCTTAGATTTCCAGAAGCTGGTTCAGACATAGCAGCTTCTTTGAATCTGGAGAAAGAGAGAGATCCGTCTGGAGAAATAGATAAAGAAGTAATAAAAATAGTGACAAATGATTTGTCAATAGGAAGCCAACTAGTGGCTGAACATGAATCATTTGGTGCAGTGGGTGAGCAGTCCTCAGAGAGACATACTTCCCTAAATCACAGGCAGCTCAGAGGCAAGAGTACAAGCAACCCACTGCCTGCCAAAGAATTAGATACTGTTGACTTGCATGGAGAGGCTGCAGTATCCACTTGTGTCAGTGGCCAAAGAGAGGAATGTGTGAGCGTTCCTGATGCTAAAAGCACAAATAGGTCAGAATACCTTCCCTTTCTTCCAGTGATATGCTGTTAGACTTGCTTTCTCAAATCACATGGAGTTTGGCATATTGTATCTTGTTTTTTTTGGCTTTGTACAGGTTATGTATTGAGTTGTTTGGATTAATCTTCAGGATCTGTGGAAATGCATTTGAGGGGCTTGTCTTCTGTCCTTGTGCTTTCCACTAGATGGTGGTGGGCACTGAACTTTTACTGTTTAAGAGGTGCTATGCAGATTCCACGTTCAAGTTGATGACTTCTCCTTTCCTACGTGCTTTAGAAGCAACTAACATTTTTCGGTTTTCTTTTAAATTTCATTTTCCTTCCTTGTTTTTCCTCTCCCCCCCCCCATCCTCCACAAAATCCCAGTTTTTCTCCTTCATGGATGCAAGAATTTTTCCTGTTTGAAATACAGGTAGTCCTCGCTTAACAACCACAATTGGGACTGAGATTTCTGTTGCTAAGCAATGTGGTCGTAAAGTGAGACATCACATGACTGCTTCGCTTAGTGCCCACAATCCTGACACTCCCGGTTGCCATCATTAACCAAGAATTGCAGATCTTTTAGCAGAGGTAGTGCCAGGTAAGGAGTGCGGGGGCCTGGCATAGGCCGCACATGAGTTGAGGGGGTGCTACAGTGTGGCACAAAGCTACAGCTGCTCCCAGAAGCCTCAGCTGCCCCAGCCTGGCCCAGCAGCGCTTAACAACTGTAGGGGCACTGCAACTGCCCCCACCTGCCTATCCCCCCACAATCCTTTTGGCTGCCCTGCACAGTGGCACTTGGTAACATCGATGCTGGGGCTGAAGTAGAGGCCCAGGGCCTTCAGTAGTCTCAGCCAGCTGCCACTGTCTCCAGGCCTCTACTTCAGGTCTAGCGCCGCTGCTGCCACTGAGAAATGCTGCATCAAGCTTCACATTGCCAGCACCACTGCACAAAGCCCCAGTTGCCCCCACCACCCTGCACTCCATAGGTTCTGCCATGCCCAGCTGACCTTTGCCATTTTCCTCCTGCTGCTGACAAGGCATGCCTGGCCTGACCCTACTGTATGCGAGGCAGCTGCTAGTCGCACAAGGCCTTCCCGAGGCTGCTCTCACCGTTCTCCAAGCCGCTCGCTCCGTTCCTTCTCCAAATTGCATGCCCCATTCTCACAATCCTTCAGAAACCTGGTCTTCCCCAGGTCTTGCGAAAACAGGCGTGCTATTCTCTGGAAGACAAGTAGACTGGTCCTGCCTTTGGCTGCTGGGCAGACCAAGCCAACCTTAGCCCTCTGTAGCTGAAGCTTTCAAAAAGTTCCTGGAGTGTGGCACACCAAAAAACTTTAGCTACAGAGGGCTAAGGCTGGCCCAGCCTACCTGGCAGCCAAAGATGGGACTGGTCTACCTGTGCAAAACAGAAGGGAGAGGATCAAAGGGGGGCCTGAGTCTACCTGCCTATTGCAGCCAGAGGACCAAAGTTCCCAGGAGCGGGCTGGTCTACCCATGGGGGAAGAAGAAAAGAAGGAGGGAGGGATGAAAGGAGTGCTGCTTTTTTTTTTCGCAGTGTGAAGCAAAAGCCCAGCCCAGCCCAACCCTGCCTAGGAGCTTTTTGCAAAGGGGCTTTTTGGAACAAGAAAACAGCAAAGGTCAGCTGAGGTGGCAAAGTGCAGGGCAGCAGGGAAACAAGAGGGCAGAGATCGGTGGAGAATAGGTGGGTGGGGGAAGTTGCAGCGCCCCTGCGGTCATAAGTGTGGGCGGCCTGCCAAATTCCTGAATTTTGATCACGTGACCACAGAGGTGCTGCAACAGCTATAACTTGTTATGAACATGGGTCATAAGTCCCATTTTTTTAGCACCGTCATAATTTTGAATGGTCACTTAACAAATGGTTGTTAAATGAGGACTATCTATATGACACAAGATTCTCCCTTTAACAGTCTTCATCCTGCAGAGGGCTAAAAGCTTGTACTTCCTCGAAACCAGTATCTAAGCTTTTCAAGATAACTTGCATATATCTGATGCTAGGCAGTGGTACCAATTACTCATAGCGCTGATTGCTTTGTTTTACAAATTGTGGATGTTATGAAACCATGCCTTGCTGGCCATCTAATGGTGCTATATATATATCTGCTTAGATGAGAGATGACACTGTTCCCTGTCACCAGAAATGGAAGTGACAGGAAAGAGATAACTCCATCTCTTCTAGCTAGAAAGCAGGGCTTAGAAGGTCTTCTGTCCCATGGAGGAACTTTCACTTTAGTCTTACACACGGCCTTCTAGGGTAATCAGTGCTAACCATGAGCCTGCCCTAAAATCTCCCCTGTCTGACCCTTGACAATCCAGGCATTGGGCGGTATCAACTGGCAACCATTCAGAAGACTGAAAGAACATTTATATATGCATGCACACATGTTGGTGGTGATGCTGGAAAAGAGAGACAAATTGGCTGAGGCTAGTTATGGGGCAAGTGCTGCCAGAGTGGGCAGGCGAGATGGTAGGAGGTAACTGGGCTAAAAGCCCCTAGAACTCCTCCCCCAGCGACTGGTAAGGTGCTGAGCAACACCAAAGTGGCCATTATCCATCAGCCACCTTCAGGGTGAAGGTTTGGAGGAGTGGCATGAAAGCACTGACCTCCCAAGGTCTCAATGGGAGCAAGCCCACCAGGCCTGCCTTTACTCCACCAACAGGATGGTGGCAGGAGGGCCAGAGGAAGTTGAATGTGGAGGTGTTTTGGCGGGTACACAGCCTCAAGATACGTATAAGGAAGGTACAAACTGACCTAGTGATGCCCAGTGTGGCGGCTGAGAGATGGGATAAGCTTTGGTTGCACACTGGTTATACATGCAAGGTATAGAAGCGTCAACCATTTTACTCCCTCCACCATTATGCTTTTTCCAAAGCGAAGCTATACATGACCATAGTGATGAAAGAAGACCTTCTACTTTGTTCATAAGGAGTTGGTAACTTCTACTTCCAGAAGCCCATCTAATAAATTTTGTTCCTCCCTATCTTCTGCCTATTCACAGGCAGAAAGTGGCCAGAGAGTGAGGAAGAGGCTACACCATCACGTTTGTCAACCCCTGAGCAGTGTGGAAAGCTCCATTTTCTGTGTGGAATCAAGGTACAACCCATGACAGCCATTCTTCAAGGGCTTCAGGCCAAGGAGAAGATTAGACTGCATAATGTTATCCCACTATCTGCACAAGACATATCAGAGGCTGTTTAATATTGACCTTTTTAAAAAACAAAAAAACTGACATGCTAACCTGGGCCATAACAATTCAGTAGATGGTGTCTGAAGAATCCCAATGGACAGTGGGGAGTTTTTCCTGTTCTGTGCTGACCATGAATGCTAGAGCCCAAATCTTGGATTTCCTTGCCAATATAGTCGGGGGAGTAGACAGAACTAACCAAGGTACCTCCAGCTGTAATGTTTCTCCTATCAATGGAATACCTAACATTGATGAGGTGGTGACAGTCCTAACTTTCAAAATCAGTAGTTCTGAATGAAGAAGAGCTGCTCACAAATCCCAGTAAACAAAGGAGAGCCCACAGTGGACTAGCGTTGGATACCCGAGGCATTGGTGGCACGATGCACCTATGCCTCAGGCATTGGAGATGGACCACAAATTGAAAGTCCGTCTTGGGGAAGAAGTTATTCAGAGAGGTGATCAGATAAGGAAAACATCCTTGCCCACAGCTCTAGTTGTTTTGGACAGATAGGGCTAGGTGTGTGAAGACCAGGAAAACAGGCGAGGACATTGGTGGTGGTGGCTGAGTGAGGCAGGGAAGGGAGAATGCTGGGAAGACTAAGGGCAAGCGGGCCAATGGGTTATGCCTTGCTGTGATACCAGCTGTGGCTGAGTGGAGGGAAGGCAGGTGTGGAGAGCACTGAGTATTAGGTGAGCCGGTGGGATATGCTGTGCTGGGGGCTGTTGAACAGAAAGATAAAGTGCACCAGCCTTGCCCTGCTCACCCTGTTTGAATATTGTTTTGTCTGAAATCCAGGACAATCAAAGTGCTCAAAATGGTTCAGCAGAGTTTCTGGAACAGGAGTGCTTGATTCCAGTTTCAAAAGAAAGTGTTTTTTCCATTTGTCCACACCATTTGGCCAGGAACCCTTAGCTTTCAGATAGGAAACAGACAGGAAAGTGTGCACTGATGTTCTTAGACTCGACAACCAAAGTCCCTATCCAGCAGACCGGTAGAGATTCAGTGTAAAAGTCAAGATTCAATGTAAACGCTGCTCAGCAGGATTCCCTTGCCTCCCAGGTAGGCCTGTAACTACAGAAATTCTGACATGCCTGGAAACACATCTGCCAAAACGGATGGATATTGGAGAGAATTGCCAGGGAGGATATGCACTTGCATTTACTAGAATGAGCTAGAACTTGAAGCAAAAAAAAAAAAATTCTTCTGTCTCCTGCCTCCAAGAGAATCTCAGGATGAAGGGAACATTGAAGCATTTACAGAAGATGGACATGATGAAATGTATACCTAGAAGATGTGACATTTTCCTTATCTTTTTCACTATACCAAAGGAAAACAGAGATTGGAGAGCAATCCTGAATCTCGGGCTTCAGAATAAGTCCATCAGGCATTAACACTTTAAGATGGAAACGGTGGAAGACTTCTTCCTGGACAACTTTCTAGACTTGGTGAATATGTGGGGCTACCTACCTATCCCAGTCACAACTTTCCATCAGAGTTCTCTCAAGTTTGCACAGGAGCAGTTGGTTTCGGTTCAGAGCATTCCCTTTCCGTATGGCATCATCATCCAGATCATCCATTTCAGTGAGGAAGCAGCTCTTCCAGGCCATTTAAGGTCCACCTTATTCTTTAGACAACCTACTCAGCAGAATGTCCTTGAGAGAACAACCTCAGCTTAAAGTTTCTGTAGGAGAATGTGGGAACCACGTGTAGCAGGAGTTCGCTGGCTGTATAAAGAAGTAACAGCCCTAAAGTGGGAGCTGTCAGAAGGAAATGTTTCAAAGAGATGCTGCCCTAAATGGCTTGCTATAAATCTGCTTAGGAACATTTACAGTTTTCACATTTACTTTTTTGCCCTGATTAGGATTAAAGGTACCTTTCTGAAATCTGGGTGGTTCTTAGTTTCTTGAATTTGCCAGCTACATGGACTTAACCGTTTCACTTGTCTCTAGAAACAACCTTGTGACCAGGAGCATGCAGATTTCATCCAAGTGGGCTGTATACCTTTGATCACCATTGAACAGATAATTTTGTTTCCTAAGTGAAGGACTTTGCACCTCCCTCTATTCATAAAGTTACTTTCAGCCCATTTTTCCAACTAAAATTGTTTTAAATTTTATTTCTGGCTGGCTGGCTGGCTGGCTGGCTGGCTTATTTATTTATTTATTTATTTATTTATTTATTTATTTCTGTCCCGCCAAATTTTGTCATCTGCAGATTTGATAAGCATTCAGATCATTATTAAAAATATTAAAGGTAGAAGACTTGGAATACTCCTTTGGGCACTACCAAAATGAGATTCTTTACTACAATTTTTGAACCGGATATGTATCCAAATAATTGTTCTTGCCATCTTGTCCATTTTTAACTAACTTACTAATTGGAATCTCGCGATGTATTTTATCAGATGTTTTGCTGAAGTCAAGATACATTATTCAGCATTTCTACAATCAATTAAGGCAATTACCCATTCAAGAAATGAATTAAGAATGGTTTGCCAAGATTTGTTCTTGAAAATCCATGTTGACTTCTGGTAATTAGCACAAGAGTTTGGTCAGGCAAATAACGGTTGCCAACAGGAGTACAATTCATATGCTGATTTAGACCTTTGAAGCTCTGAATAGCTTGGGGTCCAATATCTGTAGGATCACCTGTCATGTAGATCCTACCTATCCGATGCATGTAGATCAGATAGGGGTGTAAGGTCTGCGGGAAAGCAAGAAACTTCTTTATCCGCTACCCTATGGAACAGCCTCCCACCAGAAATCTGGATGGCTGTATCACTACTGAACTTTGGAACACTTAAAAGTAGCTATTCAGATGAAAATTTATCTAAGACTTATTCTCAATTTGTTAAAATATGGTGAGTTAGACAGTTTTAAAAATTATTAGTTTTGTATTTCTATATTACTGTTCCTTTATTTTCATTTTTTTGGACACCATCATGTGTCCTTTTGGAATTTGGCGGCATTTTTTTTAAAGTAAACTACTTCAGTCAGTATCCTGGAATGCAGTTCATATGATCCTGGAGGTTTAAATTCAAGTAAAGACATATTCCCTGAGCACATTTCTGTCAAGCACAAGCTTCAGTCTTGACCCTTCATGATTTCATGGTGGAACACGGTTTTTTTGTTGGAGAAGCCTGAACGAATACTGCTCCGGCTTTTCTTTGTTACCTGTTAGCATTTTCCTTTCTTCATTGAGCAAGTGGTATACTGATATTTTTCCTTTCCCTATTTTGTAGTTTGTTGACGGGCTACATTGAGAGCAAATGTAAAAATTGAATTTTTGACTGAAAATGGAGCACATTTACTCCATTGTCTGTTATTTAGAAAGAGATTTTATGCAATGTCTTGTGAAGCAATGCAGCATTCATGAATACAAATTAGAAGTCTTTAAAAATTTTAGGAATAAAATCATTGCTTTCAGTTATTTTAAAGTAGCAGGAACAACCTCTGTGCAATTATGCCTGCTTGTCTTAGCTTTCAGAACTTTTCTAGTAATTTGTCTTTCCTAGAAGATCATTTATAATACATATGCAGATTGTTATTTTTCCCCTCCTCTCCTAGTCCTGTAAAGCCTAGACGGATATGCATTCAAGAAGCAGAGCTTGAGTCAAGAAAAGAAAGCTACGTCAATGCCGTACTTACCCACGCTAGTTCTGTCCCATTTCTCATAGGTAAGTGTGAAGGTAAAGGGGGAATTGTGGGTTGCAGAAGCATCACTAAGATCAAAGTGCAGATGGGTACATTCCAGGGTTCTTTGCTACCATTTCTGCTGGGAAGAACATTCAGGATGGGATTTGTTCCCGAATGGGTTTCCTCTCTTGCTTCCATTTCATCCGGGCCAGAGATGGGGGTCAGGTGGCATGGAGGCTTGTGTGGCCATTTTTATCAGTCTTCTAATAGAGGTCCAGAAGAAATGTTGCTGCTGTGATAAGCTTACAGTTTGTGGGTGAGTTCACAGAATACACCTAGTTTTATAAGTGAATTAACCATTTTGTGGGTTTGTACGATACATTGAAATGTAAATTAAGCAACAGGTTGGATTCACACAATACACCAAGCTTTATTCTAACCAAACTTTAGCATGTTATATGAGTGCAGTCACTTAGTCTTAACTGATCTTAACCATGTTGAACCATGTTCAGTCAGCGATTGCCTTGTCCTCCTAGGAGGACCTTCTTGCAAAAGTTTACTTGAGGCTGACATCCCACAAAACTATCATGTGGTTGGTTTGACTCCAATTTCTGTAGACCATAGTTGACAAAATTAGTGTAATTTACTATTTATTTTACTTCTATAATTCAGTAATAATTAATACATTTTGTAATTATTGATCATTTCAGTCCCAAAGCTCTGAAAATCGTGTACTAAATTTGTGAAACCAGGCATAGAAGGGCACAGTGGGAGTTTATCCAGGGTCATAAGGCTGAACAGGCGTTAGAACTTAATGTCTCCCTACATTAAAATTCTAGCTACAGGACTGCAGTAGGGTTTTTTGAGGCAAGGTGCCTCCCCCTCTTTAGTTGAACACATTGCATAGCATTTTTATGTCATGTGCCAACTCTCATTATGATTCAGTGTGGACAATATCATGATAGTTTGAGGACAGGGAGACATAAAGGGCATGTCTCATTTGTCAGGCCATTGGGGATTGCATTTTGGTTCCTTCTGAATATCTAAGAACTCCCTAGAGCAGAGTTCCTCAACCTTGGCAACTTTAAGACGGGTGGACTTCAACTCACAGAATTCCCCAGCCAGCTGGCTAGGGAATTCTGGGA